TGCACTGGGGGGTGGTATCCAAATCCTTGTGCTTGGAAGATAACCTTGATAAGCTGTCTCGAGTCCCGCAAAGTCAACTCCCTTCCATTGCTCTAATTCTCATCAACTCCCATTGACTCTCATTGCTTTATTGCTTCACTACTTCAATACTTTAGTACTTTCGTACAAGACGGAAGTACTGGGAGGTTTGCTAAGATTTTAGGTAGTAGTGCAAATGGACCCTGGCTCCCTAGTTGGACTTGCCCTGCACTTGGTGTTTCTCCAAATTTTTTGAGTTGGGGTAAGGTAGCAATGCAAATGGATCCTGCTCTCTCTCTCTCTCTCTCTCTCCCCCCCCCCGGGGCCGGGGCTAGAAAGAAAAGAAGAAAAAGAAAAAGAAAAAGAAAAAGAAAAGAAGAAGATGAGGGTGAAAAAAGGAAGGAGGGAGAAAAGGGAAAGGAGAGAGAAAAAGGGAAAGAGAAAGAAAAAGGGGTAAAAAAAAGGGAAGAGGGGAAAGAAGGAAAATAAAGAAGGAAGAGGGGAGACAAGTTGGAAAGATTGAAGTCAAAGTTCAAGGTCGGCGTGGGTGTTGAATTTTGTAAGTGTAGCAGAGGCGTTGATATAAAATAGCCGTCACCTGGCTTCAGCTGGGAGCTTGGACCAGTTTTATAAACGACCTAAGTCACACTTGGGCCACCGTACTCACCCAACCAAGCAAAACACGAGAACAGTCAAATCACGAGCGATGGAAATGCACGGCCAAGCGCCCAAAGACCATCTGAAACACGAACCTTTCTGTGCTCTCAGATTTCCAGTTTGGGTGTCGACAACAGAACATTCCATGGGACAATTCTGAGGACCAGAGGCAACCCCGGGTCAAGAGACTCGAGAGGCCGCCGTCTGCAAGGTTTCAGAGCCTCCGCTCCATTCATACTCTGTATACTAACAATATCCACTGTTGCCCGCTGTTTCAAACAGTGGCTGGGCTGCTGGGCTGCTCCAGTTCATCACAACTTCTTGAACTCCAGCAACTCCGAGCAAAGTCCAGTCGCTCCTCCGGTCTGTTTCCGACTCGCGATACTTCCACATCCATAACACTCCAGTTGGTACACTACAGTACTTACTTGACACACTCAGCAACCCGAACCCGACTCGACTGTCCTTCTGACCAGCCCAACCGTCGTCACCGTTCCCATCTTTTCGACACCCGACCAAGACACAGCCCCCGCGGCTGACGATTCGTTAGGTTCCCAGCACACACGCCTTTTTGGTTGAAGCACAAAGAAGGGACACCGGGCCAGTCCCACGACAGTCATATCACAACGACCAACCCTTGTCCTGCTGGCAGGCAAGCAAGATACTGTATCACTTTGGGATACAAGAGCTGGGAATATCCACGACATTACATCACAGCATCTCGAGAATCGCATAGTATTACACCATCATCATCGTCATCATCATCACGCACATGGCCGCCAGACAGCACGTGGAAGCGAGGTCGCTCTCGACACTCAACTCCCTCGCCGCCAACCCCCCACAATACCCTCACAGCGCCGATGTCAAGGAGTCCTTGATCTTGTACATATCACGAGTCCCCGGTAGTCGAGGTATGTCCCCATCATTACCATACCCTTCCCTTTTCTCTCACTAAACAACCCGGGCCACAGATGTCATCCTCTCCCCCTTCCGTCCGCAGCGAAAGAACGTGACGATAGAAGACATTAACAATGCTCTCTACCTGATACACCTTGACCTGCCCACGGACGAACTACTAGTCGAAAACACCCGCCCGAACGAGACATCCACTTCCGCATCGCCTCGAACTAGTGGTGAGAGCGCGAGGAGTGTGATTCCCCGGAAACCGTTACCGCCTAGTGCCCGCGTCGAGCTTCCCACTCCGAGACAACCGTCTGCAAACGTGCCTGCGACCCATAACAAGAACAATGTGCCCAACAATACCGGGCCGGTACCGACCAGGTCGCCGTCGGTCAGACGTACAGATTCTGTAAGACGCCCACAAGGCCTGGGTTCGGAGAGGCTTGAGCGGGCTGTAGCTGCTCAGGAGCCTGTTGCTGGGAACGATGGATACAAACCGAACCCCATGTTCCAGCCCAGTTTGGTTTCCGAGCCGCCTCCCAGACAAACGCCCCAGCTCCCTCCCCCGGCCGAGAATCTAGCAGCGATGCGCCGTCCCTTTGGCCCACGGCCACAGACCTCTTTGACGATTCCCGAGGAGCCGGCTGTCAGCCCTGGGACGACCCCGACGAGCAACCGACCCATCTCACCGACCGATCAAGCACTTTACACTCCTACTTCCAACGTCCCCCGGCCCGGCGATGGCATCCTCTCCCCTCCTACCGTCACCCGTGCTCGCGCCTCCAGCAACTCGAAACTAGCGGCAACAATTCCTTTCACGCTCACACTCATCCGGCGGGATCCTTCGACCAACCTCCAGTGGAACGTGGGCAAGATCTCTTCGTTTGAGACAAACATTCCTACTCCCGAGTCTGCCCATCCGGATCTCGGTGAGCTACACGATGCGTCAACCCCCGAACCACCGCCGCCGATTGCGACGCAGTTGATTGACATCCATTTGGAGACATCCGGGTATGCAAAGTACAAGGGAATGCTCAGCCGTGCAAACATTGAGGCTTTGCGGCCGACTTCCCCTCAGTCCTTTGCCCGGACGCTACAAGGCTTAGGGACGAGTTCGGGGAGTACAAGTGGGAATGGAAATCAGGGTGATCGAAGATCAAGTGGAAGCCCGCAAAAGCAGATCATGGGTGTAACGCACATGGAAATGGAAGAAGGATTCCATCGCCAGGTGGTCATGGCCTACACCAAATCCTGGACCTCGGGCCTCAAAGGTGCTTTCAGACGACACTCCCGCTCGGCCAGTACTGCCTCGGCTACCGCTGGCGACCTCCCGGGACACGCCCGCCATGGCAGTTCCTCGACCATTGGTTCAGGCGATCTTTCGCCTAACGAACACCAAAAGCCCCAGTCTCCCCCGCCCAGTCACAACCGCCAGGATTCCATGGGCGGTGGCCAACTCATAACCCAACCAGGCCCCAACCTCCGCCCCAAAGGCTACGTCTTCCTCTCCCCCTGGCTAGGCCGCTGTGAATTCCGCACCGGCTCCACTGGCCGCTCCTTGAAGTGTCGACACATTCTCGACGAGCACACCGGCGGAATTAACCAGCTCTCGCAATTTGACCCCGCCAAGCTCGCCCAATCCGTCCGCGACGCGCCCACTATCGGTCAATCCCGCGGCGACAGTTTCAGCTCCGCCATCACGGGCGCCAAGCCCGTTTCCGAACTCCGCTTCAACTTACCCTCCGAACCCCGTTCGCCTGGCGCCGGCACCGGCACGGAGAACTACCCGCCGGGTCACACTGCCGGATCGAAGCGCCATTTTCGCTTCTCCAAGTTCTTAGGTCTGGAACCACCCAGCTCGGAGGACGAGTATTTTGACGATGAGGATCTTTTTGATCCGAATGCACTGGGCAGGGAAGATGCGGGTGGAGGAAGTAGAGGCAAGAGAGCGAAGCTGGGGAAGCTGATTATTCATGATGAGGGACTGAAGATGCTGGATTTGGTGGTGGCGGCTAATATGGGGGTCTGGTGGAATACGTGGGAGAAGAGGTTTTAGGAGACCGGGACCAGGGAACACAGGGACAGACACAGTGAGTCGCTAAGGGGGTGTTTAGGTTTGAGTGGCGTGAGAGTAATGAGGAGAGGAAGGGGGGGTATTGGGAGGTGGAAAAGGGGGGGCATGGAAAGGGAGATAGTGCGGTGTCTGGTGTGATAATCTTGGTACTAGGAGAGAAAGGCTGGAAGATAGGTAAGGAAATTAATGGAGGATACGGAACAGAAATAGGAAGGGAAGAAAGAAAGGAAGAAATGGGGAGGGTAGGGAGAGGCGAGGGAACAGTACATAGATAGCATGATGGCATAGATAAGATACCCATAGCGTAGCATGGTCGAAGAGGTAGCATGGTATGAGGGATGAATGATGACTGATGAATTGAGCTGGCAGTGTCTTATCTTTTCTGTGCTAGTCTCATGTCATTGGTGATGATCATGCTGAAAGTGAGCTGATGCCAGAGGCGGTTGAAACGTGATGAGGGTGTAATCTCATAGAAGAGCAGAACATGTCCTGTCGGAAGTCAGGTATAGTCTGCCGTCCGGAGGGAAAGGCTCATTCCGCTAGCACTAACCGTATATCGCACCGAGGGCTTTCATGATGTACCGTACTCTTGGATTGGACATGACCACAGATTGACCAACTAGGAATTAATTATTGTACTTGTATGTACATCAAAAGGAAGTAGCTTCCAACCCAGGAGAGCCATTTGTTTTTCAAAGCTCGAGACGCGTACTGCCACTGCCACTGGCATTGACAAATAAAACACAATGAAATTGACCACCTGAAGCAGCACATCCAAGACATCGATGATTACCTCAGTACATAAAGGGCAAAAAAACATGTATCGTGTACAGTAACTCGGGAAGATAACCCAGAAGGAAGCAAAAGACTAACACATGTCCCAAAGCGAGACAAAAAAAAAATAAGCTAATCGTCAACAGTAGGGTTCGAACCTACGCGGGCGAACCCAACAGATAGGCAAGAATAGTGAGGATTATTCAAGTCTGTCGCCTTAACCACTCGGCCATGTTGACAAGTGGATGTTGTTGGTAGTTTGGGTGACCAAAGGAGGCTAATATAGGGGAAGCAGCTTCAGTTCCCCTGAGCTGAATGAGGGGTTGGGCTGTTGGTTGGTTGGACTTGGACCTGGAGCTGCAGTGGTGGGAGCTTGGGTGGGGTCGGTCTGGCCAGATAGCTATGGTGGGGTAGATATGGTGACTTGGCGGCAGGCACTGGGAGCGGGATTGAGAGAGGATCACGTGTACAGTCACGACTCGGACTTCGCAACACAGCTCGCCAGCCGCAGCCAATGGCAGCACAGCCTTTCCAATCCACTGTGCCGTGCCGTGCTGTGCAGTAGGCTCCAAAGCTCTGGAAGTGGACGTCCTGTCGGCGATACTCAGGTCCAAGCACACGGCAGGGATCCATCGACGACCGACCGACGTCAAGTTATCGCAGCCCGGGGATTGTTGCTGAACGTCCGTCGCCTCCATCAGGTTCGTGCGCTGTCTCCGCTTCCCGCCCTTGAGGTTGAACTGCTTCGATCCACTCTATAATACCGTCATCCCAAATTGGTTCTGGTTGTTACCACCCCAACAGAACTGAAGTTCGAAGCCGAAACAGAGGAAACGACATCGGAGTGGAACCGAACGAAGTCGTCGCTGAGTCGCAAGCACAGAGAGAGCACTGTATTGACCTGCGACATCATCAAACCAGGCTTGCGACGACAACCAACTACCTACCTAGCCACTCCTCCTCTAATATCACCTGGCGCAACGCAAGTCGCAACCTTTGCCTTACCAGCCAGCCAGCCAACCTCAAACCACAATTAATCAACACCATCCACCGCAACCGCCCATCATGCTCAACACCACTGCCTCTTCGGCTGCGGCCGTCGCGCGCCAACTCACCACCCGCCGAGTCATTGCTCCCTCCTTCGTCTCCCAGGCCATCCGCACCTACGCAACCCCGGCCGGTCCCCCGCCCAAGGGCTTCCGCATTCCGACCCCCAAGACGTGGGACCAAGAGGAGGAACACGTGCTGGACAAGAACGGACGGTACTTTCTTTTGACGGAGATGTTTAGGGGCATGTATGTGGCTATGGAGCAGTTTTTCAGGCCGCCGTAAGTACTTTGTCTGTCTTTTGTCTGTTTGCTGGCTTGGGAGGATAGGACGTGGTGAGTGGTGGAAGTTGGAAGGATCTGGGGTGAGGAGGTGGGCAGGATTCACGACATGACAAGTATCATGACTCGCGCACTGGAGAGTATGGAGATTGCGGCTCTGCGGCTCTTCGCTTGGTTAAGCGCGCTCGTACTGTGCTGCTCCTCCCGCCGCTCCTCATCACGACGATCAACAGCTCCCTAACGACTGCGCAAACCCATCTCCCCATATCTACTGACACCCCCATTCCAGGTACACAATCTATTACCCCTTCGAAAAGGGTCCCATTTCTCCCCGCTTCCGCGGCGAGCATGCCCTTCGTCGTTACCCCTCGGGCGAAGAACGCTGCATCGCCTGCAAGCTCTGCGAGGCCGTCTGCCCTGCTCAGGCCATCACCATCGAGGCCGAAGAGCGTGCCGATGGAAGCAGAAGGACGACCCGCTACGATATCGACATGACCAAGTGCATCTACTGCGGATTCTGCCAGGAGAGCTGTCCCGTGGATGCGATTGTGGAGAGTCCCAATGCGGAGTACGCGACGGAGACGAGGGAGGAGTTGTTGTATAATAAGGGTGAGTTCTTGTCCTGGGGATGCGGTGATAGGTTGTTGCTGTCGAGGGGAGAGGGAAATATGACATGTGCTGACAACAGATACAGAAAAGCTACTCTCCAACGGAGACAAGTGGGAGCCTGAGCTTGCGGCTGCTATCCGCGCCGATTCTCCTTACAGATAAAGGGGCTACAGTTTGAAGACCGGATAACAGGACGGACAACGAGGACAGCAATTTTTTTTTTTTCGTTGTTGCTATGCTAGAGCTTCGGAACCAGCAGTTTCGGATGGGTTGCGGTATCAACAGGACGCACCATGTGTTATAGAAGGCAGGCGAACGAGCAAAAGAAGGCTGTATATACGTTTGTAATTGGCGTCCCTGATTCAATTTCTTGCCTTCTTATGTCTTATCTTTCCAGGAAAGATCCTACTACTCGGCAAAAGGGACGCATCAAGAAACCTGAAGATGCTTAAAAGGCTGAGTGTACAATTAGTGTACGGTACCATCTGTAAGATACAAGCTGTATCGTCATGAACTCCATCCCATGATCGTATCCATCAACCAGGATTACCCGTCTAACAGGCGAGTGGAGTGATCCTGCCCGTGGGGTGTTAGTGGAGTATCTGCTTGACACATTTCTCCGCAGTGGAATTCCATACCCGCAAGTGTACAAGACGGTACCTGAGCGACTGCACGTGACTCGGCTGACGGAGCAGCAGAACGAACTGGAGCTTCCATGGCTTCAGTCAGTTGCGGGGGAGCATCGAGGTACCAAGGTACTTCCACACGCTGGAGCTCCAGAGTCAAAGGCGGTTTGTTAGCTTGGCCGCCGCCGCCCGCAGTTGCCCGCACCCGCTTCCCGCGCCCCCGGCGAAGTAGGCGAGAAATTTATCATCATCATTGCTGATTCCAGCCAACCACCGCCCAGAAATCCGCCTCCAGCCAGAGAAACCCGCAACAACCTCGTCCGAGAACCACCGAGTAGTAGCGTCACACTCATTTTCGGCCACAGCCTTTCCTGTCACCACCACCCTCAAACACCCGACCGACCCGCGCAATTGACCTTTTCCGCGACAGCCAACCCAAACAAAAACAAAAATGTTCCGCACCGCCGCCCTCACTGCCGCCCGCGTGGCCCGTCCCGCCGTCGCCTCCGCCGTCCGCGTTGGTGTTGCCCGTCCTGCTTTTGTCCAGGCCGTCCCCAAGGTCGCTGCCTTCCAGGCTGTCCGGTTCTACAGCGCCGGTGGTCACCTCAAGAAGGATGAGGTCTTTAGCAGGATTGCGCAGGTGTTGAGTGGATTTGACAAGGTGCGTTCTACAATACACGACACGACATGCACAAAACTCGAGCAGTAGGATAAGGAAGAGGAGGAGCAGAAGGAAGGCAGGAGATAAGAAAGAGGTGTGAAGAGGCAGAGAGATACAAGTGGTTAGGGACATGCGCCACGTGAAGACAAGAGGATGGAGTGTGCGGGGAGCATCATCATCGCAAGCGAACCAGCCGGACAACAGAACGCAAACGGAGGAGGACCAAGGAGATGCAAAGAGCATAAGGCTGCGCACACGCGACGAGAGCTCCCAAAACGAGATGGAATACGATGAAGAGCACTGCGCGCTCCACACGCTGCGCCATGGCCGGATTTATCGGGAACTTGGGAGCTCTTCGAATGGGTCTGCCCTGCCGGCTGGGCTGGTTCTGCTCAGATGATACTGCTCTCGCCTCGCTCCTTTGCTCTCCTCGTCTTGCTATCCTGCTGGTCAACTTCTTGTCCCTCCCTCTTCTTTCTTCCTTACCTCGGCTGGATCTCGCCTCTCCTCCAGCCTCTTCTTCAGAAGCCACAACAGTCCCGTCTTCGCAACCTTTATCAGGTCCAAGCTAACATCTACTTCTTAGGTCAACGACCCCAAGAACGTAAGTACAGACGCAACCACCAACATTTCCTCCTCACTGTCACGGAGACGAAATATGCTGCGATCTTTGGTTATGATGGGTCAATCCCAGTGCCCTGTGCTCCCGGCCTGAAAGTCTGGAAGGAGAGACGAGACGGGCAAACCGCAAGAATAGATGCAATGGAACGAGAGACCAAAGATACAGCGATGAGAGATTCTGACACAAGTTTGCGCATCACAGATCACCGAGACCGCCCACTTCGCCAACGACCTCGGTCTTGACAGCTTGGACACCGTTGAGGTTGTTATGGCTATTGAGGAGGTATGTTGCTTCCCTTACTTCCCTTGCCTTGCTTTAAAAGATTTGTCGCTTTCCAAACCCTCTTATTTTGGGCCTCAACCTGTTCCCGTTCCGTCTTACTCTGCTGTTGGGGTTGGCAAGTGTTCCGCAAGATGGGCGCTTGCTCGCTCCATGTCATATTTCCTTCTCAGCCCAAGCTCAGCCTCTTATCACAATCGCCCTTCAACCCGAACACAGTCATAGCACATGGACGTAAAACACGATGCTAACAAACCTACCCGCAACAGGAGTTCTCCATCGAGATCCCCGACAAGGACGCCGACCAGATCCACTCGGTCGACAAGGCCGTCGAGTACATCCTGAGCCAGCCCGATGCCAACTAAAAAGTCCTCTGTTCCGTTCCTTGTTCGAGCGTTTTAGAAACCCCACTACTTGCGCAAATATAAAGCATACTTTTTCTCCCTACCCATCTTACCTACCTTACCTTTTCACCTCTATCCTTATCCTTAACTAGATCGATTCGAAACATATCTTTGTCATTGTTTTGAGATTCGATTCGATCTGTGTACCATACGAAAACTTAGAACCTGAATGAAAGAAGAGATGACGGATGGAATGGAGCATCGTGATGGGTTCGGGCTAGATGTGAACCGTGGGCAGGTCTGGGTTGCTGTTGTTGCCGTTGTTGTCTTCAGACGGGTCAACACGGCGACACACGTTGCGATGTTTGGTGGTCACGTAACTGGTAATGTGGCAGGCACAATATACCTAGCGTTAGTGTCTTATATTGTTGCGTCGTGTTTCGTTCATCGCAAATATCCGTACCTACACACTACGTACTTACATACCCCCCTTTTCTTGAAGTGAAAGCTGACTCAAAAGACAAACCAAAAAGAGAGGAGCGATGGATGGATGGATACCTCAAGGCAGTATGACTACCTCTATCTTCATTACCAACCCATCGTCGAGCTGAGACGCTCGCTGATGGGAGGAGTTCTAAGCAAAAAAAAAAAAAAAAAAAAAAAAAAAAAAAAAAACCAGATTCTCAGCGGTACCGAACCGACTACAGCTGATGTAGGAAATATCATCCGCGCGCTCTTACACGCAAAGTAAATTATAATGACTAGAGCGCATCCAGTGGACGGCCTGGATTTATATGTCTCCATGTCTGATCATTGCTCAGTTCATTCAATATGTACCTCACAAACATGGAGCTCTTGAGAACCGACATAATTGCCCCAACGGAAGCTACCTACCTACCAAATTGTCTCTCTGCATCATGCATGATAATATCAATATGTATTTACATCGCGGCTTGAAGCTAGGTACCTATATTCACCACTTCAGAAACTTGCCCTCAGGATCACGTAGAGCTGGGTTGGTTAGGTATTTCAAGCCAAAAACTGTTCTCTGTACCTAACGAGGTTTTTCCTCTTTATTTGTTCTTTTTTTCCCTTTCCCTTTTCTTTATTTCATATCGTCTCATTTTTTCCAATTTCTTCTTCTTCTTTCTTTGGGAAAGCATTTATTGCTGGGAATCTCAATACTATTGCCTCCATCCACTTCGGTTAACCTACAGTGTGGGCGTACAAAGACGCCGAGCGAAGGGTTTAAAGAGAGATAACAACAGAGTTGATGATCTATAAACGATATCATTCAAAAATAACAATACTGTCGCTGCTCTGTGTATACAGCCAAGGTACTACTTAAAGCAAGAAAGGTGGAATCCACCAGCTACTCTATACACCATTAATCCTACACTACCACCCCTCGCTGACATACATGTCATGCAACTACCTTGACTCCGAGAGCAAGGAAGTGGAAAACAATGATAATAACAGTTGAAGACCAACCAGAATTCAAGTGCTTTTGATCTTCCCCCTTTCGTGATTAGATCCTTCAAATGTTTTTGTTTTGCACGCCATCCCCCCTCCGCTGAGTTGTTTTCCTATGGCCAAAGTATGCTTGTTGCTTCCCATCCAGTTTTCTCTTCCCCTCCCATGTGCTTTTGTTTTGCTCAGTTCCATGAAAGAAAACAAAAGAAAAGAAAAAGAAAAGCTGCCAGATTATGTGTCATATCCAAAGGACCGCGCGTCTATGCATATAAAGATAGTGAAAGTTCGATGTTGAATCGTGAGATGGCTGAGATTGCTGCAGTGTCGAAACGTCGAGTATCCGTATCGAGCAGCGGATTGCCCATCGAGACAAGGCGGTCGATCATTTCCCACCAACAGCCCCAATAGCCCCCACCTTGCTGACACCGTTCTGGCCGTTCTGACCCTTCGAATCATCGCCGTTCGCACCACCGGCCGCCAATCCGTTCCCACTAGCGCCCGCATAACTTCCCCAAGGCGACGAAGATGACCCGCCGTTACCCAGCGAGCCCCCGTTTCCCAGCGGGCTACCGTTACGCTTCTGGTTCTGCCCCGCATGGGTGGTGTCCTCCTCCTCCTCCATGCTGAAGACAAACTCGCTCTGTTCCTCCTCCTCACCTTCCTCATTATCCTCATTGATGATCGGTGTGGTAAACCTCCCGCTTGTCGAGCTCATGGAGTTGGAGCTAATGTGCCTCTGCAAGCTATCTCCCCTTTCCTTTCCAATGACACCGGCTCCGGAGGCTCCATTGCGGCCCAAGTTGGGGTGAAGACCGCGGGGACTAGAGGAGGTGACGGATACGTCCTCGCCGATTTTGCTACGCTGGAATTGCTGAGTGAGCGCAGACAACGACTCGCCGGTGAGGCTTCCTTGGCGGTTGGAGTCCTCAGATACAAAAGCACTGGCTACGCTCGAGTTACGCAGCGGGCTGCCAACGTGTCCAAAAGCCGAGGGCGGGTGCTTGATACTGCGGCCAGCGATGGGCATAAAGCTGAGACTGCCGCTACCTCCGTTGGACTCCAACTTTTCTCTCTCCTCTTCCTCCTTTTGGCGCTGGAAAAGCGGTCCCCATCTGCTCGGGCTTTGAGAAATCGGGCTACCGAACTTGGTCGCGTCGAGTCCGGTAGAGTCCAGCGGGGCGTCGAAGCCACGAACGGTAGCGGTGCTAGATCCCCTTCTCGCGCGTTCGGCCGGGGTCAGCAACTCATTAGCCAACTCTGCCGGCACGTAATCTTCCTCGTTGTCAAAGATCAAATCAGAGTCCCAATCCCGATCATGGGGGACGCTCTGGCTCATCAGCCTGGGCTTTGCAAACCGGGTCGAACTGCTGTGCATCGGCCTTCTGCCAAAACCGAAGTCTTCACCGCCAAGGCTGGAACCATAGAAGGCCGCCGAGGAATGAGTGGGCGGGCTATTGGCGAATCCATCGCCGCTAAAGAGGGACTGGGAGATGTTGTCATTTCCACCGAAAGCGGAATTACGGAGCGCACGGAGGGTGTGCGAGGTGTTGACGTCCTGGGTCACACTCATGCCGAGGGAGCTGGACTCCAGACCGAACTTTTCGGGAACCGAGGAGGGCCAGGGGCCGTAGCGGGCGGCGTGGGAGATGCCATTGCTGTCGAAGGAGGCGGGGAGGGGTGCGTCTAGGACCGACAGGCCCTTGGGGACGGGAGAAACGCCAAGACCGAAGCGAGCGGCAAGATCCTCATCCCGGGGAGAGCCAAATGCGGTAGTGGGGTTGGAGGTATAAGTGGTATCGATGGTCGGGATTCCATTGCCTCCGCCGTTCTGGCCAGGCTGAGGGACATATTGTTCATCGTGATGGCCGTAAGCGGAGGCGGAGTACGGGGGAACGGCGTCGGCGCGGAGGAACGAGTTGGTAAGGGCGCTGTTGGATGGTTGGTGGTAAGTGTTTGGGTTCACGCGGGCACCCAAAGCGACGGGTGGGGCACCGATCGTAACACCGCCTTTGCCATAGTTGACACGGCGGCCGTCGGGCAACACGTGGATGTTGGCACACTTGGGACCGAATTTGCAGTTACCCTATAATCATGGTGGCACAGGAACATGTCAGCAGGAGGACGACAGGATGGAAAGGCCCGGGGATTTGGGTCCTGACGGTCATACCTTGGCAAAATATTTGCACACCGTCTCGGCCGCGGCACTGAGGTCGTGGCTGAAGGGACAGGCGGAGCCGGCCTGGCAAGCGCCCTGGCGGAAGAACTTGCACGGAACATGTGATGTGTCTGGGAAAGAGTAGTGCGCGTTAGCCCATAGGCGACAATTTGGGGTATTCGTTAAGAAATTCATCATCTTGAGGGGATATGGTGCTTGGTGCTCTGATTCCTGTTCTCACGACGACGACCGAGAAATAGCGGAGAGAAGTGCATTATCATCAGGGCAACTCACTGGGCGGACTACGCGAATGATCAAATCGGTGTGCTGCTGGCAGTTGGCCGCCAGGCATGGGAGACGCAATCATGGTCGGGGCAGCACCAGGCCCGGCGGGGTTTGGGTTGATGTTGAGACTGCCCGATCGTATGTGACTGTGACTACGATAGTCGGCGGCCGCACCGTTGGTAGCGGACATGGCGTTGAAGTGCTGCAGCGAGCCTTGGAAGGGGCGCAGATTGGGATTTATGAAAGCTGTTCAGTCCAGGTATGACTCTTATCGGCGGTGCGATTCGGGGATCGGACGAGGCAGCCCGAGGCGGGGTAGTCCGGTATCAGGCCGTTGTCAGCCCGTCGTCGGTGCGTAAGTTCGGCTGCAAGAGAGGGCGAGGCCAGGAAGGGGCCCGGGCTAGGTGGCTGGCGGGTCGAAGAGGTAGGTACCGTACGTGATGCCTTTGTGCCGGATGTCCGTTGATGTTGCTTTGGACAATGGCGGCGGTGACGGATTGGAAGCAATTGAACTGTCGGTTCGAGGGTTGGGCCAAATGTCCAAGGCAAGGTTTAGGCAAGGTAGGCAGAGAACTGAAGAAGTAAAGAAGTCGGGATGAAGTGGTGACAGGCAGGGGGGAAGGTGGTGTTGTAAGAATCGAGATGACAGCCGAGGCCGGCCACTAACAGGCGGAGACGAGGCAGTTGGGGTCGGGGTTGGGTGGCAGAACTGAAGTCGGGACTCAAGCTGTACAATAGGTAGTGGGAGGTATAAATGTGTAGGTAGAGGTACTGTATCCAATGTGCAGATAGAGGTAGGTACGTTAAGGTAGGAATATGGAATATGCCGAAGCAAGGTAAGGTAGGTAGGTAGGTAAGGTACGGAACCTTTACATCTACGATAACTCGGCTCGGCTCCGATCGCAACAAAGGGAACCGGAGGACCTGGGAATCGCCTGAGGGGAAAAAGATTGGATTGGAATTTCAGTTGGGCGGTGGAGGGGCGGCGGCCCGATTCTGATCGCCGGGCAGCCAGTAGCAGGGCAGGGCAGGTAGGGAATGCTTGCTGTTAGTGCAAGTCCCCGAATGCGCTTGCTCGGTTCAGGCGTGTTGGTTCGGTTGTTAGTGATTTGGTGGCCGGTAACGGCCTTCCGTTATCTAGCGCACTCGGCCAACTCCTGCGAGTCTCACACCAGCTGCTCCTGTCGAGTACACTGAGTGCCAAGACGAGCTGTCAGTGGACGGGCGGAGGTACGGAGGGGAGTCGGGGTAGAATCGGCCAATTGCAGCGAGGGAAGAGGGGCAACAGGCGGGGTTCACAGCTAGTATCGCGTCAAATGCCGACTTGATTTGCTGATATGGCGATTGGTCGAGGCAGGCAAATGCCCGAGAAACAAAACTCCACGGTGCCTGCCAAGACTTGATTGTCCAAGACAGCGGCCAAGTTGAGGTTATTCAGAGGTTGTCATATGCAACTGATGATGTTGTAATAAAGTGTTGGCAATTGTCAGTCCGATCCAACGTCTACCGGTAGATTGGATGACCAAACAGAAACTGGGACGGAAGATGGATGAGGTGAGATGACAGATAACGTCGATAAATAGGTATGTAGTGTATGGATCGGGGCCGGCAGTGACGGGGACCTTGTTGGACTCGTGGATTCGATAAACGTAAAGAAGGGAGGGGATCGGACGACAAGATAAGCCCGGCTATTCCTGGTCGGGATGACGGACACTCGATCGGATAGACAGAGTGCTCATCAGGGTCTTGTATGATAATATCACGGTATCATCAACGACTCAAGGTTAAGGTCGGCTTGGTCGAGTCAGCCGAGTGATTTCAAGTTGATCTCTCACTTCTCAGCGTCTCTTGGTGGTGTAACCTGAACATGGAAATACGCATCCGCATGACGGTAAAGCTGGGATCCAGGTTGATGCAAGCAAACCGGGAGGAAAGCAACCATGTAAGTCAAAGGGGACAATGAAGACGGGGATGGAGCTGAATAAATGGAACCAACGCAGTGACAAGAGGCTGTGCAGTTGCCTACGTCTAGTTGGTTGTTGACTGGTCCGCGCCTCGTCCTCTTTCCGTTCCCTTCCCATTCCACCTATTTCTATAACAAGGCTGACTTCTGACGGTGTTTGCGATGGCAACCATCGCGAGGCATCTCCCTTCCCGCTCGGTCATTCGGAGTTGAGTGGGGTATCTCGGCTACCTTTACCGTATGTTACGCCCCCATCTAACCACGCCAATATTCAAGTCCGCTCCGGTGTTCAATGCCACTCTCACTGTATGTACCATCTGAATGACTAGATAACATCGGAGATGATAGTCTTCAAAGTTCTCTAGAAATAGTATATCAAGTACAAAGATACCAGGAATGATGCCTGAAGCGTGTGAATTGGAGTTCCCTCTCTCGAGTGCGGGGTGAATAAGCAGTAAGGGAACTGGCCAAGCTGTCAACCCGGCCTCTTGTCTCGATGTGGTGACACCGACCCTGGGCTCACCTGGATCCATCCATCCAGTCTTTGATATCGAAACATCCACGCAACAACCATTTTCACAGAGCACTCATTCAATGATTGGATTTGTCATATGGGCAACCCGCCGGCACACAAGGCAGCCGGACAGGTCGGTTGCACAATTTTGAAGCTCCAAGCCGTCTGGCCGTGGGGGTCACGGTTCATTTCTGCGCCAAGGGTCAAGAGCCAAGGACAACATGTTTCTTTCGGTGAGGGCAGTGAGGGGAGTCGGAAGCATTCCCACCGGGAAGTTGCAATCGGATGGGCGCCCGCGCCACATACTACTGTACTTACCTCTAGTTGTACCTACAGTATTGTCCCCTGCAACTGCATACTACTCTAGGTACTGCATATATGCTAGTTAGTGCATAGAATTTCCAGGTCTGAATTAGTCATTTTGGCCTGGCCCCGCTTCCAGAAGGTGCATATATGCCAGTTAGTGCATAAGATTTCCGGGTCTGGATTATATGCAGAATCAGGGGACAATACTGTAGTACCTTTAGGCGGCGTGCCTCGTCACGAGAACATTCACACACTCCCCCGCCCGGCCTCCTTCCATGGATGAGCCTGGGCGTCATGCACTCATTTTATCAGCTGCAGTGCCTTCGTTCGTTTCCTTTTTCGGAATTTCAAAGCTTCCGACAACTCACTCTTATCGAAATCAATTCCTTCGGATTCGACTCGACACGCTGACAGCTTGACGCCTTGACTGCCTGCCGACGCATGTCTCACTTCAAGCCTCAATCATGGCTCACAGCATCAAGCCATCACCAGCTCCTCCAAGTTCAGCAAAAAATAAAACTCAGTTCTCCTGAGGCCTATCGACATTCGAAAACATGGCGGCTCGGACCGATTCCACACATGGATGTTGATCACATCAACCAGGAGGAGATACTCAGCGGGTTCACAAGCCAAGAGCAATGGTTCACGCTACCTAACGTTGATCAATCCTCCACTTGCCTGGGTTAATCCCTTTGATCCTATCACCACAACGCCACACTAGTGGTTGATAATCCGGGGTGCAGCCGGGGTCCACAAGGTTGCCATCGATTCATCGAATCAATCCCCCTTTGTCGACCAACATTGTCCACCATTGCCCATGAGGATTTCAAAAGGCCAAGATTGACTGGCTGGATGGCACTCACAGGACCACCGCGAGGGTTCCTTTGCGAGGGTTCGCAAATGCGAGAGCGGTATCACTTCATGTCCCATGCATAAGAGAGATCATCTTGCAGCAGAAGTCCACAAGCAAGATTCATTCACAACGGTTTCTTCTTCATTGGTCGTCTCTCCTGTTACTCTTCCTCCTCAAGTTATCAAACCGGTCTGCGTCCTGTACTCCTCAGATGTCACAAAATGTCAAGATGTGACAACTGCCATTCACCACTTCTCCAATCACTGCGTGATACACGACACCCTCATGATGAGCTAGTGGCTTGTTCTGACTGCGAGTGCAGGAATAGCTTCACAATACCAGGACGAGAAGGACTTGTCCACATGAGCTGCAAAAGCCGCCCATGTTCACTGCTTTACTTACTCTGGGTTTGGAAAACATTGAATGACGAGATGGGACCAGAGCTACTGAGTGGCCTTACTTCTTTCGTCTCGAATAGCATGAATGTCTCCTCATAAGACACTATCTGTTCACTTCCCCTCGTATAATCAGCACAGATCAACGTCCGAGACCACCATTCTTCACAAACCTCAGCCGTGGCATTGATCCATGGCCTACCACTCGGAAGAACTGCTTGGCCGAAATCAAGTTTCCCTAACCGTTCTCGAGCCGCCACTCCTATCCGTCCCACCCATCCTAGGCTGCCTCCATGTCCCTGATTTATCGTCTCGAGATCAACCATGGCGATCAACATCAAGGCAGCCCGGCACTCAACCACCCCATGAGCCACCCATGAGCCACAATACGAGCCCCATGATCAACGGATCGTCATCGTGGTACGATTGCCATTCTCGCCATTCTCCGTTTGCCGCCCTCAACAGTATCGAGTTCGATTACTACCTAGGTACACTACCACATTCGCCATCACCGCATTGCTTACCAGTCCAGAAGACTCGCGTCGTCCAATCCTACAACTTCCATCGCCACATGCCACCCTCCGCATACTGACACTCGTCCAGCCTCATCACGGTGTAGAGTAGAGGGTCCCAACAATTGTCATAAGCTCAAGCGCCGGCGATGGTCTCAGTTGACACGGGAACCTTTTCTCCGCCACAGTCACTGTCTCACTCAGCCAATAAGCACGTCAGGCACGTGGACTGAGACAAGACAAGACAGGCGGGCTTGACATGAGTCGAGTCTGAGTCTCGGATCATTGTGGTGTTGGTGTTCACTCCCTTTCTCAAAGAGAGGTTTGTCTCATACGAAGCTCCACTTATACGCTACTACGTACCTAATTCCACAGGAGTGCAAGTAGGTGTGCCACAGTGCCCCTTGGAATGTTATTTAGGCCCCAGTGGGCTGAAGCGTGAACGCGGAAGTAGCTTTCCCTTGGAATGTTTATGTGGGTGTAGGACCTGAGGTGAGCTTCTTGGGCCGAAAACAGCTACCTGATTACGTTGTCTTACAGCTTTCGAGCATCACGGCCTTTCCTATCACTGATGGCAGTGCCCACAGTTGAGGTTTAATGGCAGGCGGGATGTCCCAGAGTGTCTAGGAATGGGAGAATCGACTCTT